GACTTTCTTGTTGTCAGCGTTTTGCAAGTTGCTGTTTTACTTGTCTTACGGTGCCTAGCCTACAATGTGGGTGATCGTGGTGTGGTTTGACAGACATGACCAAGGGGGAAAAGAAGATGAGAAGAAGACCTATAGTCGACAAAGTCATTTCTATTATTGTTGACGTCACTGGTTGATTGTGACAGTTTATAGTTCATGTGGGTTCGACTTTGCGAGTTGGGGATTGCGAGTTGAGACAAGCCTTGTGAATATAGAAAGGGTTGACTCTCAACGAGAGACAGACTGGGGAAAACACAGCCTCTGGGAAAAGTCGATACTGATGCGCTTTTTTATTTGACTAGGTTCACCTGCGCCCATCGGCTTAGTCGATGTCGTGTAGGTCGTGCGTCCCTTACCCAGGACTCAGTTGCCTGGAGATGCCTCTTGGAGCAGTTGTTAGTGGGCGCACAGAGTGAGAAGCGATCTTGAGGGATGTTATCTCTTTTGCATGGGTTGTTTGTTGAGAACGGGGGCTACTAACTGGACCTGCATTGAGTGAATGAGGAGTGTCAACTTTCAATAAGGGACAAGTCCGAGGTCTATGAGTATACTTCGGTTCCAATGTGCGTATTGTACGACGTTTCGCTACATGGTTCGAGTTAAGGGTTAAACCATGATCTTGGGTATTCTCCAGTGGAATAATTAGCTAATGAGTAAGTCTAAAAGAGCGATGGTGGAGGAATTCGGTAGTTGTCTTGCAGGGTAAATAAGTCTAGATTTGTCGGGAAGGCGGAAAGCATTCAATGTGGACTGTGGGTGTTAGTGGAGTTCCTATGGGCTATGAGCCCCACTTGATGGGACGACCTTGTGACAAGGAATGGGTTAATTTTCTTTGAGCTATTTTGAACGCTGTTAGGGAGGCAAAGAGCTATGTACTAAGGGGATTACCAATTAGACTGTAAGTCGGGGGCCTTGGAAAAGGTCTGTATGCGGCGCCTTGTCGTTTTCCTTGGGTGTGGTGAAAAGTAAGTGGCATGCTAGAAGTGAGGATGATGATTACGAAACCTCGGTGTGCTGAGTATCCATGAGTTGTCACTCTGCATGGAGGCGCTGATGGTAACTCCCCCGTCCTATATTTTGTTGCATGTTTCTTTGTCTTGGTGCGATAGAGTGCTCGCTTGGCTGTTCCACCTGATTGAAGAGAGCAGAAATCGATGCCCCACCTTTTGATTGACGAATGGGGAAGAGGGTAAATCTCAAGAAAATTGCTTACCTTCTAGTCAAGTACATACTCGACGGTGACTAGTAAAGTCTCCATCTGTGTGTGTTCTTGACTGAGAAAGGGGTGGATGAGAGGAGCATTTGTCGATTGGCTCTGTGCATCGGTACGAGCGGACCTGTGTAAAGGTCAACGCTGAGCTTCTCAGAAGAGAACTGCCTCCTTGTATTTGTCTGCTCACTTTATCTGCATATATGGAAGTTTGCACATGCACTAAAACTAGTGAGGACCCAGGAAAGTGTTGAGTATGTCATATACCTCTATGGGCATGATGGAAAACAGTCCGGTACTCGCTCATCCCTAGGAATGTTTGGGCACGCCATGGTGAAGTCTGAAAATAATAGGAGTGCTCAGACCTCGTTCACCTGGGGTTTTGTCAAGTGTTTTTGACCGGTGAGCAGTCTCCGGCTGTTCGTTCGTATGCTCAGTGCCTAGCAATTGAGCTTGCGGTGTTTGATGCTGCCTTGTTAAGTGAGTTGCACTTAAAGTTGTGCTATTAGAAAACCCTAGCTGAGGCTGTATCGTCTCTTTGCCGCCTCTTATACGTACCAGTGTTCGGCGTGAGTCGGATAAGGCCCCAGCAAAAGACGTTGAGATCAGTCCCGAAAAATGCGTTCGACCCGTGAGTGTATTTAAAATATGTAACTAATGGAGATTAAGGGAAATTCCTGTCTACGCGTGCCCTTAAGCCAGTTTTGAAAGTTGTCCTTAATTATGGTCTGACTGTCAAAGATCTGACAGAGCCGAGCTCCTTATTCTATCGAAAGCAGGTCCACATACTAGGTTGATCAGTTCAACCGTGAAAAGCAGGGCACTGTATGTGAACACTTACGCATGCCTAAACGCGTGATTCCTAATTCCAGGTCAACTCGCGACTCTGCATGTCGTTTGCATTGCCATGCCACTGAACTCGAGGGCTCAAAGGGTACTGTATGGGAATTACCGGACGCCCATCACCGCCAGTGGTTCTCTGCAAACTGAACGAGTGTCGTCCCCTGTGTTGAACCAAGGTTCTAAATTCGCCCGACATTTATCTCTTCTCATGATCAGTTAACCATTAGCAATCCTTTATTTGGTTAGTCCAATTTAGGCAGCAGGAAATTAGTCTGAATCCCACTGAGTACTCAGAGGCACCCTGCTTTGATTGTAAGCGGGAGTTGTATGAGTTCCCCAGGTCATGGTGTAAAGACGTTAGGTGAACAGGTCCTAGAACGTGAGTAAGGGGGCAAGCGCATTCGCAATCTAGGCAATCAAGTAGAACCTGGTTTAACCGCACATTCGTGTTTACAGTGTTAAATATGGTCAAGTGTCTGAAACCACAGAGGGAAACAGACCATCTGTGTTGAGTCTGGTATGCGGTCAGATCCCCCCGCTATGCATGAGTTGAGAGTCAACTAAAAATTACAAGCTGAAGGTTGGCCAAATTTGTTGCAGCATTCGACAAGCTTGTGCCACTGGTCAACCTACGGCTGGGTAACTGAACCTGGAGACATGCTCAGCGCTCACTACTCTCGCAGACAGAAGGTCATGATTAGTATTGTCCACCTCTTTGTAGGACGAACTAGCTCCGGTGTTTGTCACACGTTACTGGTTTACCCAGTTGATTTTGTCCAGTCCGTGTAGCCCAGATGCTAACACGAGTCCAGCCTTGAGGGAAAAACTGTAGCGTTCTGCAGCACTCTAGTGCACACCTAATTATGCTCAATGAGACTCAGCAGCGAGAGTCCAAATAATGAGTTGCTTGCAACAAGAAACCAGTGGCGGACTGGCTGTAGTGAAGTAGCCATTAATGGCTGCTTGGTGAAGTCGTAAGAGTTCATTTCGAGGGTCAAGGGATTGATAACAAATACTACTTTAATCTAATCTGCACAACCTACAGACGGTGATTTGGGGAGGATGAGATGGCGAGCAAAACATTCTCTCGGTATTCTGCGCATCCTATCGAGAAAAAGCAGAAGGCTGGGAAAAGAGGGTTGTTGATGCTGTCTTGGACTACATAAAGTTAATGAGAAAACGGGCGCTCGAATTAGTAGGAACCCGGGAAATCATTGAGTATGTTATATATTTTTATGAGTTTGACGGTAAAATGCACAACACATTCTCAATTACTGAGACTACCGACCGAGCAAGGGAGGCTGTCGGTGGTCAGTAAAGAATCTTCCGTGGCAATCGTTGTTCAGGTCAACTCGACCGTTCAGTCTTAAAGGGTCAGTTGAGAGGTGAGGAAAAGCTCGGCCTAAGAGCAGGCTGCGTTGCACCCTTCAGTAACCGGATGTGGGAGTGAGCATCCAGTGTTATCGGGGGACAAGATATTGGTCAAATACACAGTGTATTATCAGAACTTGAGCAGGTAAAGCAACCAGCACAGTCCACCTGACACTACCCGACAAACCAGAGGGAATCACCAGCAAGTCAGTCAGGGAACAATCATCCTCTGTATGAGTACATTTCAATCACTCTAGCCAGCAAATACCTCTTCGAGATCTACAGCTCTCCCAGTGTCCTGGAGTCAAAGTGATCAACGGAAGGTGACTCGAAATTTTTGGTATCTGATCAGCGTACTAGTATCCAACCAATACTCAGCCGTCAGAAGTTACTCGAGGAAGTCAATCAGCAGTAAGCAACACTTGGGTCATTATCTGCTAACTCAGAGATCAACCATAGTCACATAGTGCCTTGCTAAAAGAAAACAGAGATCGGGATCAACATCCACTTCAGCACATGAGTACGGTACAATCATTCTCGGTTTCAGAAACCATTCTTACCAACCTCAACAGCATTGCATCCAAGGATGCCTTCCCATACAGATATGTCAGTGCAAGAGGCTTCAGGCAAAGTAACCTGTCAATCTATGCAGTCCTTACCAAGTTTGCAGGCGGTACCATTCACGATCTAAGACTATGTGAAGAAGGGGAAAGAGGCTCATGAGCATTTCGATTCAGTTTGGCTCACAGCAGCAAGATATCTTGAGGAGAGGGAGGGAGAATTTGACGAGAGTGGTATGAAGTTGATCCGCAGCTTCGGGCCGAAGCTCTATACTGATTATCCTAAGCCTCCGGTTCCCTTTATTCTCACCGATCGTTCTCACTGAGGTGACCTGATTGACCTAGCCAAGAGGTACATCTCCCCAGCTACGATCGACTACGAGTCAGTGACTGAGCCTTCTGAATTCCCGCATCTCAGACGAGGGATCTTCTCTCAGTCGTATCTTCCTACGCAATGGGAGGAGTTTTTTGCCATGGTTGACTTCCGTATCATGGGACTTGGATGGAAGTGCTCAGAGCTTGCAGGCTTCAGGTGGCTCTACATACAGAGACCACAGCCTCAGAGAGTACGGAGACATGGCAAAAAGCCCAAACGACAGACGACAACATGAGAGATTGAGTGGGAAGTTCAGAGGGATGAGTGAGGACTCTTGACTGGTGCTGGCCATGCCCTCTACATATGTACTTTCTGAGACTATTACGAGTTCTCATTCTTCCCTCATTCACCTTGTCTTTGCCTTGAGTCAGTCAGTCTTGATTTTCTTTTCTGGCATTGCCTGGTGATTGTATTTCCTTGCTGATTATATCGCAGTTCTCAATCCTCTGAATTGGCATCTTGATACACACATGGCATATTTAATTTAATTTTATTATCTGCATCATCATTGCTGTTCCGAATCACAATTGAAGATTCCTAAGACCGGGGACCGGCGAAGACCGTAATTGAAGGGTCTCGCTCGAAGCCGGACGCACACAACAGGAAGGGATTTGCTTTATTTAATTTAATTTATTTTATTTATTGCAAGAGCATCCAAAATCCTGCGTGACAGCCTGTTGGCTTTTCGGTCGCCTGAAGCGGCCCGACTGGAAAAAGTGCGACAACGGTCTTTCACCTTTGCCATCACGAACTCCCTTGTCTCACAATCCATTGGCAGCATGGCTATTCTCTTCTCCAAGGTGATCCCCAAAGACCACACCTGCATACCCATCCTCCTGTCTTTGTCCATGGACTTCATGAGGCCGTAAACAGGCTCTAGCAAGGTACTTGCCCGCTCCACTGACAACCACCAAGTCGGGTCTCGTATGAGCTCCTTGCACGATCGAGCCCGAGTCGCTGCGGTCCGATCCCATGGAGAGTCGTCCCAACGTGGGTTGGAAACCATCGCTAGCAACACCCCCTCGCACTCCCGAAGTCGCTGCAGCATGAGGAAGTTTGTGCCGAATCCAATCTCCCCGGGTTGGATCAACTCCAACGGCATCCTGTCTTTGATACCCAAATGTGCCCTGTACTCCCTACCAGTCCTCCGGAACATCGCCAACGCCCGCTGGTGTCTCTTGATGAAAGTTGTGATCTCCCTGCCCTGCAGGATCACCTCCCCAATCCATGGCACCGAAGCAATGTCACACATGAGCAAGTTGCAAACATGGCATGCGCACGACACCAATGGAATGCTTCGGATCAGAGGGTCCTCGTGCTCAGCCAATATCTTCCGGGCAGAAATGTTGACCTGCGCAGAGTCGGTGCAGATGGCGTTGACCCTATGCACCCCCAACTCCCTCATGACCTCCTCCCACATCCTTGCCAAAGCTGGGGCTGACTTATCCTTCCCCTCCATGTCCACGCTCTTCACCATGACAGCCCCCGAATCGCCAGCAGCAAGGAAGTTGATGACCGGCCTGTTGCTGGTCATCGTTGTGTCGTTTGTCATCAAGGTCAAGCCTGTGACATCCCAAGGCTCACGGATCTTGTCCAAATCTTGATCCACGGCTTTGTACTCTGTGGGCAGGCCTTCGTCCTCAAGTGTTTGTATCCTGGCAATCGCAACATCTTCCTCGATCTAGCTGCCAGGTTCATGATCCATTCCATGTTCTTATACGAGTCGGATCTCGCAGCATTGAAGGATGGCATTCTCAAAGAAGAAAGAGGCGACCGCCTGGTCAAACTCTTTATGCAGTTCATCCACCACGAAATTGTTAATGGACGACTGTTGTCCATTGGATGGAGGTCACGGAGGTCGAACGACAGCTAGAACGGGCCCCCACAGGTGCTCAGCAATTCTCCGATTGGAGTTCAGGCCCCCTGGAAGCTGGAGCGGCCATGTCTGCGAAAGATGTAGAGTCAAGACCAACACCCCCCGCCCCCCCAGCCATTGAACCTCTGTCACGCCTGCCGTTTCTCCCTGCAGACGATGTGTCGGGCTCCGCCGATGCACCCGCTTGATCACCCGAAGCAAGATCCTGTGGATCCTCTGCGACCACCGGACAACCTTTCTTTTTTTTTTTTTTTTTTTTTTGGAAGGACAAACAAAAGAAACATTTTTGCAGAACTGCCCAATCACAGTTCACAGGGAGAAAAAAAGAATCAGTTTCCTTTTTTTTTTTTTTTTTTTTTCTTAAAGCCCCTGTGTAAGCCCTCCATCCCGGCGGTGGTAAGAGAACCGTCCCAATTGAGGGCTTATCTATTGGGCTGCTCCATCTATCGGTGGGGAGCGGCACCTGCTGAAAACCGGGTCCAGCGTGCCATTAGTATATCATGAATCACGGGGATTCAAGTTGTTGTCTGTTGTTTCTGCGGCTGCGGTCATTTCTCTTATCTGCCCAGGGCTCTCAGACTGATAGTCCCATGGAGCTGCTAGTAACACCCAACCCATCTAGGAGCACCCCTTATCTATTACCCCAGCCCTGTTCGGCAGCCTCCCTGTTCATTGTTTACCTGTCCATCCCTTGACGCCCTTCAAGTTGATTGAATTACGTCTATTGACGCGCGCCATTGTTATCGCGATCTAGACATTGATGTGCGCGTGTGCACATTCCCAATGAAGATGATGACATGGACTTGAAGACAGCGACCTTGCTGATGTGGCGCATTGTTGCCGATCGGCAACCGGTGACAGCATCGTTGGCTGTAGCGCTGATGTGGCGCTGAACGATCGTGAGAGAGAGAGAGAGTGGGAGAAGGGGACTGCTGACGTGGCATTGGGAGCGCTACCTACGTGGCAAGGCACCTGGGTGCTGACGTGCCATCCAAAGTGTCGGCAGGGTATTGTCTGATGTGGCACTTACCTGTGTCGCGACTCACAGGCTGATGTGGCACTTCCACACTCCAGTGGTATCTTCGATCTGACGTGACAGACCAGTGACGAACGAGTTGGCAGATGGTACACTGGTGACGTGGCACACTTGTTGCGGGCCTTGCTGGCCGTTGACGCTGATGTGGCATACTCTGTGTAGGTGCTGCGTTAGCAGACTAGGAGTGACACGTGGCAGGAGGTGTGCACTGCCACTTTCTGAAGATTGGTGAGAGATTGATACTTGCACTTGAGCGTGCTGGCGGGCGGTACAGCATCAGGAAAAGGCTGTAGTGCCACCCGTCAGCCCTTGTGCCTGGCTGCATTGGAATTTGCAGAAGGACAGTCGAAGAGGATGAGCTGCTGACATCTTGATTGATTGTTGTTTGTTGGCTGACTTTACTCACCGTGGGCTGTTCTGTGGATGTCTGCTGCTCACCAACTGTGTGTTGTCTTGATCACACTGGCTGTGGCTGCGGCACCTGGTACCACTCTCAAATAGGAACGTCATCACACAGAACAAACGGCAGAATTAGAAATAGATAAAACAGGAGAATCTGAACCTTTATTTATTTCTTTTCATTTAGTTTGCCATAGGACAGTATTGGACCTGTCTCTTATACACATCTAGATGTGTATAAGAGACAGGAGTTGGGGGAGGGGGGGGGTGCTAAGATCAGGGAAGTCGGGATTGGAGTGAAAGAGGAGAGGAGGGGGGAAGGATGTGCTGACGTGGCGGGAAGTCGGCAATCCACGTGTCAATGATCCTTTCGCAAGTTCACCTACGGGGACCTTGTTACGACTTCTCCTTCCTCCAATGATAAGGTTCAATGGACTTCTCACAGCACCGCCAGTTGCAGGTTGCCGAGGTGGCCGCCATCCAGGCACTTCACCGGGCAGACACTTCACAGGGCAGTTGAATCAATAGGAGCGACAAGCGAAGGACAAACCGGAGCACAAGCGGCAGCAGGTCCGTGTTGACGGCCTGTAGGAAGCAGCAGCGGCTGGAGTAGCTCCGGCGTCGAGAAAAGGGCCAGCTTGGGTGACGAAAGTATCTGGTCGCGTTGATGGACCAGGTGAGGTTGCAAGAACGGACTTTGCGATAGCTATCCGCGATTGCGGGATAGCGAGGGAGGGAGGGAGGGAGGGAGGGAGGGAGGGAGGGAGCAGGGGTTCGAGAACCTGCTCCGATACCAATGTGACGCACGTGCAGATGGCACGTGCGTAGATGGTGAGAGAGAGAGAGAGAGGAGATGGACACACGAGAAGCAGCAACTGAGTCAAGGTCCAGTCCGGCCGAATAAACGAACGAATCAAGAATGAATGAACCAACTGACCGACCGGACCTAGGCCTAGGCCGAAGTGATATACCGACCTAGGTCCAGGTATGGGAACAACCTAATACCGGACCACGGTCGGGCCGACGGACTGAAACTGGTCCGGTCTCACTGCCAGGCCGTAGGGGTACCGCTACTCTCTCTCTCTCTCTCTCTCTCTCTCTCTCTCTCTCTCTCTCTCTCATTCGCTGCTGCTACTGGTGTCAGTCGATGACGACGTGTCAGTTGATGACGACGGGTCTGCCGATGAACTTGACGACTCTTCTTGTTCCTCTGCGGAAGATGAAGCACTGCTTCTACTAGACTCATCGTCCTCTTGCACTCTCTTCCTCTTCTTTTTCGGATGTATTTTCGGAGACTGCAAGACTGCGGTGACTTTCTTTTGAACTCTTCGCGCCTTCCTCTTCTTCTCTTGCCGAACAACAACATGCTTCTCTTTCAAGGTCACTGGTGGTGTGACTGTCTTTCGTCCCTTGCCTCTTCTACCTTTGGTCGACGGTGCAGCTGTCTCCTTCGACTTGTTCTTCCCTCCTTTCTTTCTGCCCGCTAGACTCCTCACTTGGCGCACCTTGCTGGCATCGATTTCGGAAGGCGACGTTGACGCACGTCGTGCATTTGCATGTTGTGGCGGGTCGGGCCCTCCAACCTCAGCAATTGTGGTCCTCCTCCTGTAGACCATGCCTTGTGATCCTTCCCCGGCCTCAGTTTGAATGTCCTCACTCAGTTGTAGACCACGTAGGTTTGGTCGAGGGAATCTGGTCCAATCAGGGGTCTTCTCCTCAAAATCAATCCGCATTGGGGACATCGCAGACAGGTGTTCACGAAAGTCCTTGTTGGAGCCGCTCGGCGCAATGGGGGCCATGTGGTGCAAAAGGGCGGTGAACCCCTCCCCCATTACCAATCCCGGGTCAGGAGTGGAGAGCTCGCCGCCCGCAGCGTCGGTGACCTCCACTGTCCCAGGAGGCGGGTCGTCCATGTTCGCACCGATGTCTCCCTCCGCATGTTGCAGTGCCACCAAAATCCGCATCAACCTCCACCGCAACATTGTCCCTGTCAACGTCCGTCGAACCCCCGTCTGTTGTCCCGTGGCCCGTGGGTACCTGCTCAAGCACAGCTCGGCGATGACGGGTGAGTTGTGCACCCGAAAGTGTGTCAATGCCCTGTACTGAAGCCACACCACCTGACGCAGAGCTCCGTCATTGCGTACACAAACCGGCGGCGTCCAACAACGTCATTGAAGGAGCCCCCAAATGCCCGTCGGATGTAAGGACCACCGGCGGTGTGATGTCGTATGTCGTCGTGTCTAGCGGAACATGAGCCGCCGCCCGAGCGCCTGGTGGACAGAATGTCAGTGAGTCGCGCATCAAGTAACTCGTCGTCGCCCTCACTATTGCGGCTCTCCTCCTCGTCGTCATCATCAGCAACAACGCTCTACCCACGGTCGTCGTCCACGACGCGGCGTGGGCGGTAGGAAACATCAAGGAGCCATGCCCCGTCGTCCACCCTCTCCTCCAGAAGCTCACGAACATCGAATTTGGTGCCCTTCGATCTGCGGCCATGAGATTTGGACCAATTAGCGGCCCTCCTCTTCACCTCTGCGGGGCCGTACTCCCCGTCTCGCATGAAACCATCGAAAGGCGCCTCGTCCTTTGGCGTCTCCCATTCGAGCCGCTCAGTGTTGACGAATCCCATCTTCGCCCTTGACATGCGCAGCAGCTTCTGTTCCAATGGATGAAGACTAGCATCTGCAGGTTCTCCGGGCTCAACAAATTTCTCCTCTTCGTGTGAACGAGGTCGAATGTGGACCAGTTCCTCTCGCACGGAGAGGCTGTGGTCCACATGCTGAGCACTTTGACTGCGATCTTTGTCAGGGTTGGGTGCTTCTTCCCATAAGTCCACCACCACTGGGCCACAGACACATGCTCGCCTATCAAAGCCTCCTTAGAGTTCTTGCCATTCCACTCCGGATCCATGTGATGGAAAGTCTTAAGGGAGTTCCAACATTCTTTGTACTCCTTTGAATTCTTCCAGTGAACCGAAGCAAAGTGAGTCAAAGTGTTTGCGATCTCCTCGGACGCATAGTCGTCAAATAGTCGAGGTGATCGGTGGAGCGGGTGCAACATCCACGCCACTGCATGCACAGGGAGAGCCATCATCCGCACACGTTGTCGGAGGGCGCGGTGTCCCGGCCCTCCTGTGTACCAGGCTTCTGCTCAGTGCCAGTCCCCAGCTCAGATGCCCG